CTGACATGAGAATCCAGGGTGAGAGCTGGGTCAAAGGTCACGCCAAGATTCCTGACGGAAGGTTTGGTGTGAGAAAAAAGCTGACCAAGAGAGTCTCTGACCTTGGGAACCAGCTTGTCTGGGGCACAGATGAGGATCTCAGTCTTATCTTCATTCAGCTGAAGAAAGCTCCCACCATCCAGGTTTTGATAGAGTCTAAGCAGGTGTGTAACAGCTGCAGCTTAGACATCTCATGGGGCTTAAAGGATATATACAGTTGGATGTCATCTGTGTAAAGATGGTAGGAGATTCCTTTGAAGGAGCTCAGGATGTGCTGAAGAGGGAGCAGATAGAGGAGGAAGAGCAGAGGCCCCAGCGCAGAACCTTGTGGGACACCATGGGTAAGAGAGGTGGAGGAGGACCTAAACTTGGAGACAGCCACAGAAAAGGAGCGCTCAGAGAGATAAGAGGACCACTCCAGAGCAGATCCTGATAGGCCTACCCAGTCTCTCAGCCTCTCCAGTAGCAGGTGATGGTCAACAGTGCCAAAGGCTGCAGTCAGGTCCAGCAGGACCAGAACAGAGCAGTCCCCTGCATCACTGTGAGTCAGAAGGTCATTAGAGACCCTAAGAAGAGCTGTTTCAGTAGAATGAGCTCTACGAAAACCTGACTGGAAGCTATCATAGATGTTATGTTCATCAAGAGCAGCTGTGAGTTGTTTAGCCACAACCTTTTCCAAGATCTTGGAGATGAACAGAAGTTTAGAGATGGGTCTGAAGCTGCTATTGAGAGGGCGGTCAAGGCTCGTTTTTTTAAGAAGCGGGTGGATTACAGCATTCTTAAAGTAAGCAAGGACCTGACCAGAAACCAGAGAAGAATTAATTATAGAGAGCACGCTGGGTCCGATGGACTGAAAAGCACTTTTAAACAAAGATGAGGGTAAGATGTTGAGGGGGCATGCAGAGGTCTTCATAGAGTTAACTAGTTTGGTTAACTCAGGCAAAGAAACAGGAGCAAAGCTATCTAGGATGATGGGCCTGGTTGGAGTCGGGAGAGGCGGCGATAAGGCTGAAGGAGAGATGCTAGATCTAACCTTGTTGACTTTGTCCACAAAGAAAGACAGAAAGTTCTCACAGTCTGCAACAGAGTGGATGGAGGCTGTAGGAGAGGCAGGAGAGACGATGCTGCTGATGGTGTTAAACAGCACCTTGGGGTTCCCTTTGCTCTGGGACACCAGGTTGGAGAAATAGGAAACCCTCGCGTCTCTGACTGCAGAGTTAAAGGATGCCAGAAGATCCTTTAGGTGCAGCAGATGGACGTGGAGATGGGTTTTCTTCCACAAACGCTCAGTTTTTCTGCATTGGCGCTTCAGGCTAAGAAGGCTGTCATTAAACCAGGGAGCAGGGTTCACTGCAGGAACTGATCTAGTTCTGACAGGACAGATGTTGTCCAGAATGGAGAGGCAGTGCTCGTTAAACTGAGAAGTTAAGGAATCTGGGTCGTTATCAGAAGAACAGGGTGGATCAAAAGCAGCAGAAACATTGCTAGCTGTGCTCTCATTAAAGGGGCATTATGGAAGTTTGACAGCCAAAACATGTATAGAAATAATACATTCTCCTGCAATGCCCTGGTCCTGTAGAATGAGCCCTGGCATTTTTACTGTGATTGCCTGTTTTTCTGTAAAATCACAGAAAAAGAGAGATGCTCGGGTCGAGCAGGCTGCTTCATGCGCGTTCACGCTCAGGCATAGCCCGTAGCATTTGCTATCCGTAGCGTTAGCAGCAGAAATAAAGGCAGTGCCACTTTGTCGCTGTTCCTAACGCCTAGTGACAAAGCTAGCTACATTTCTGAGGACCCTTAGCTACTTTCTGTAGAACTTTCTTCTAGATATTTCCTGCATATTAGCAACAAAATAGCCATTTTCACTCCGAACTGTTCTTTGAACGTTGTTTCAGCTGTCATCAAGAATATAAATGTTACAGACACAAAGGACATCACTGGCGCTTAAGCTCACCTACTAAGATGTCGGACTCTCGTGCAGAAGACCTGGGTTCGATTCTGGATGTGAACATAGTTTATTTAGAGTTATTTTTTACATTAACAGTATATTTTTTTTACAGTAAGATGCCCAAATTTTTATATGAGACGGCATGGAATTCACAGATAAAAAAGATGTGGGTTCAACTTTCATTTTGGAACAATTTTTCAAGTAAGGGAAGGGAATGATCTGAGCATGCAGGAAGACTGACCCATCTTAAATCTTTTTCGGCTGTGCTGAAGAGAAAGGTACAGAACCAAATTATTTAATTAATTAGCTGCGCGTTCTCCTGTCCTCTGTCCTCCGGGCCACACACACACACACACACACACACACACACACACACACACACACACACACACACACACACACACACACACACACGGGACTGTCTCAGCTGTTATTTTCGTTGAGGAGTGTGCACATACAGCATGCACGCCTCGTGCACGAGCCTACTATTGAAGCTGCTGTTACGCTTTTGGCCTGAGACGACGAGCAGGAGATGGGGACGCAGAAACGGACAAGTTAAAGAAAATGGAGTGGTGATCAGAAATATAAACGTCCTTAGGACAAAACTGTCAGCATTTAGACCCAGGGTAAAAACAAGGTCCAGAGTGTGTCCCCTGGTGTGTGTGGGGCCAGAAGCATGCTGGGTAAAGCTGAAGATTTCCATGAGGCTGGAGAAATTCATGGTGAAGTGGCCTGAGGGATCACCGGTATGCATTTAGTATAGGTGAAGACACTTAGATGAATAGAGCACAGCCAGCTGAACAGACTATTACCATTAATCATTGTTTACAGTGCAAGCAGAGAAAAAAGTCCCAAAGATTATCTTTTAGAGATATTTCTTTGGTCTTAAACTGTTAAACAGTTTCTTACAATTGCAAAAGTATCGACTGGACATTCATAGGTCTGCAGGCGAGGTCTGTAGGTCAGCCTCTGGCTAACAAAAACATGTTTGGTATCCGATTCATTCAGATAAGTTGTGGTGGTTGCTGCTGTTTTTATGTCAAACTGAATCTCTTTCATCTTCCTGTTTGAATATGCTTTAGAAAGCTTGTTAAATAAATTGATCTAATATTTTCCTTTAACTCAGAAAACTGGAAGAAAGGACAAAAAAAAGACACAAACATGAACAAATTCCAACCCATTTTTCATTCCAAGATGTCAAATACTGCCATGTAACGATTAGCCAGAGTTTAAACTGTACACAAGGTCTTTTTGGCATTGACATTATGATGCACCAACTGTGGTAATATTTGACGCCTGGAACAAGCACAGCCTTTTGAAAAGGAAACAGCTTCAACAGAGGAAGGATTCTGATTGGGCCATAAAGTAATCTACAAGCCTTAAACTTTGTGAATCATAGTCTGATTACTTCATGAGGCCTTTGCAAACTCTGCCGACGTCAAGCTCAGTTCTATGTTTTGATCTGTTTAATCCTTCAGCAGATGCAAGTTGTCGCTGCATTTTAAATATAAATGTGATTTCTACAGAACGTCTGAGAGCATAAGTCTGACGCAATTTGGTCTCACAGAAAAGTATTAATTGTGTTTAAAATCTAGTTGTGGTGTGGAACACTAAAACATTCAAATGTTCTCCTACACCTCTCTCCTGCGTTAGCTTCTGATTGGAAATAGATGGTGAAACTCTAGGATTTGAAAATATGGACAGATCTACGAGAAGGCTGTTGCTCGTTTATCCAAGAAACAGCAGGATGTCTTGGCAAGTAGAAGCTAACTGTTAGCATTAGCAACTCAACCACATAGCATAACTCTTTCAGGTTTGTGTTATTTGTGGAGATAAAACATCCACGTTGCAAGTCAGTGGTAGAGTCGAGTTGCTGTTATCCAATCAGAGGTGAGATGTCCAAATATCAGGAAATAAGACTCCAAAACCTGAAGTCTGAAGCTCAGCTATGATGTGGCTCACTTCTAGTTCCTTTGAATGTTGCGCCACAGTTTTTTTCTACCTTGAGTACAATTTATAAGGCATTCTCTCCTACTAGAGACCACTGCAGATGTATTGATTAAACAAGTGTTCAACACCTTTAAAAATGGCGGTAAATCTTTCAGTAAAATACCACATAAAGCTTTTCTTGTACTGAAATTTGTATTTGGTTGGCAATGTATTTGTTGTAACAATGGTTCTCAGCAATAAATCTTATTTTGTTGGAAAGCCTGATTCACTTTCACAATAAGGTAGAACTTGTAAGGATTGTGCATCCACGATCAGCAATGCTAAAGATGCTAGTTTTAACTGTTGTTTTGAGATGTTTGGTGGATTTGACGACCGTACTCTTCCACAGTAATAAAGAGAGAAGATCCACGTGCAGCCACAACAGCCGGGTCCCCCCTCATGCCGGCCTCCAGGCTGGTCTGGAATAACATCGCACTCCTCAACCAGGACTTGCTGAAGGTCAACCAGTGTGGTGGTGCCCATTATGATAGCACATACAGCATGCCCAAGCTGTCAAGCAGCTAGTTGAACACCTGTGACTGGAACACACCTGGCATTGCTTCGTTAAAACCAGCAGGAGAGCATTGGAGGGACATTTGGCACATTGTTAGGGGTACAAATCACACATTTTGCTCTGTTGCTCTTTCTCCCCTTAGATGATTCTCACAGGCTGCAGCACTCGGGAAATGTGACTAATAGGGCTTTCCAACATTATGAAGAATGGTAATAAGCAATACTTTGTTTATTAATGTTTAATAATGCACAAAATAACATTCATATAGAGATACTTATTGCAAAGTGTTACCTAATTTCTTTATAAAACTAAAAAAGTTATTTTAACGAATCTACAGAACTAGCAAGGTTTTGAACACAAACACGGTAACAGAACACTCACCCCTCCCTTCGAGAGTCTTCCCTGAGATGCTTTTCTTGGAAGCCCGCAATACCAGATGAAACAAGATGGTGCTAAACACCAGTTCCCGTTTTCTAGGTCCAAACTTCTTTTGTTGTTAGTAGGTGTTGAATAAAGATTCTCGATTCCTCCAGACCTGTCTTATTATATAATAGCAGTTCTGGAGTACATCTCAAATCTGTATGTTAAGTGAAACCAGGCTTCAGGGTTCAGCTAGAGGTCTGTGTGTGGTGATTTGACTCCTGATCTCATGCTGCCATAAATGTTGTGTGTGTTTCAACTAATCTTCTATCAATGACAAATTTATGTTGTAGTTTAACCTTGTATCGACTTTTTATGGTGTAGCCCAGGATGTGATAAGAACTTCAGGGGGATGGAGATGTTTATGTTTGACTTCCTTTGATCTGAGCTGAAGAAGGAAGAAGGAGGAGGGAAGACCCCCGCCCATCTGGCTGATACCGGAGGGGGGCTGGGAGAAGACCCAAGGCCGGGGAATGCTTCCGAGGCAGGGGTTGCCATGGAGACGGAAGGGGGGCCAGGAGGAGAGAGTTGAAGAGGATAAAAGTGTGAGGGCTCCGGGGGAAGGGGCCTTTTTGGCTTTTTGGTCTCTCGGGCTTTTTGGGTGTTTGGGGAGAGTTCGGAGGACAACTGTAACGGTTGAGTGATCTGACCCGCTGCGTCGGGAAATCTGGAATATTTTTACTTCATCATATAAAATAAAATATTTGCTCCTTCATATAAGGGGCTTTAAACGGAATTTCCAGCCTGGGGTCTCCAGTCGTGTCGTGTAACAGCTAAGAAGGTGAGGCGCTGGTTACTTTTTATCCCACTCCAAGAGGTTTACATTTAAACTTAAAGTCTTTAACCTGGGCATAGCATAAGCTGCAGGTGACTGAGTTGTGGTGAAGTTATAACAAGAGTCTTCCTTTGTGCTGCTAAAGAATGTTTGCCAGAGTCTAAATCTAGGTAAAGATGATCGCTGATTAGCTCACAGAGGTGTAAGCTCAGACTGGATTCACGCTCACGCACAAATAGAAGTACAAGTCAACCCTGAGACGTAGTGTTTATTAAAGAGTCAGCTAGTTTGGGAGGATGACTTGTAACATGGCGCCCAATAACGTGGGGCTGTGATTTCGCAGTTGAGTAGAAAACAACCTGTTGTGAGCTTAGAAAGTCCGGAACTGGGAAAATTGTCCGCAAGGGCGGCCAATTTGTCCCTAAGGAGCCGGCTATATTGGCCGAAGGGGGCCGCTTAGGGAGCCTATGAGTTTAGATTCTGAAGTCCAGTAGCTGGAAGTGTGTTGGAACGCACTGGTCCGGTTGGGTCGGTTCCGTAGAAGTGCGTTTCTCTCCACCAGGTGCACACGGCGCAAAGGGGTTTTGTGAGAACCTCTTAGCAGAATTCTCACACGCAGGAAAGTGAGTGGCCTCGTAAAAGATTCTCACAAAGTAGAATGAAGTCGCAGGTTGCAATTCCTGACCTCGTGGACGTAATCCGGGGCAGAACAGCTGAGTTGCTGCTGGTGTGTGTGCACGCACACCCTGCCTTTAAAGGACAACGATTTTGATGCGAGGTGATCTTTATGAGTAAAGATACTCGTGTAACTGAGGGAAAATTTAGGGATGGCTGCAGTGAGCGAGGGAGGAAGAACGCGGTGAGGATGGCTGATATTGAGAGCTTGTGGGCTCGTGACGGCCCAGCTGGAGTGCGAGCGATGTTTTCTAACAGAGGTTAGCGAGTTACGCTCAGCACGTCTAGCAGATGGGTCAGATATCGATTTTCAACCCGCGTTCAATGATAAAATGCCCGCTTTATGCATGCCTGCGCCGTAATATGCTAGTTGGTTGTGCATTTCAGACTTGGTGGAGCTTGTGCAAAATAATCTGTCTGATTTTACTCATCCAGCAAGCCTTGTGCCAGATCATGATTTTCAGGTGGTGGTGAGAGGAGCTGTTGTAGATGTGGATAAAGAAATGGGCAGGATTGTTCAGGGAGCTTTGATTGATTAGAAACAGAAAGCCCTTCTCGGACAGGAGATGAAAACTGTTAACTTTGCCAAAAAATCAAGGATGATTGTGGATTGTGCAAAGGAGAGCTATATGTAATTCAAGCTACCCCTCCCCCGTGTGTGCCTCAGAATCCAATGGGCAGGGGGGTGGAGGATTGGAACGAGTTACTTGTTGATCTGAAATATAAAGTTTCTGGGATATCAATACACTCCTGAAGGGAGAAAGATAGATGTGAAAGTTTTTGAAAACATCACGCTGCCAAAAAACCCTGCTACAGCATGAAGGAGTGCTGGAAAGCCGGGGTTTTATGGTGAAAATATACCAAAGCTGTCAGAAAGAATGCAGTCTCTCCAGGCCTTAAAGCGAGGGCTTAGAAGCAAGGGGGGGGGAGACTGATGAAAAATGACCGTGTGCTCACAGAGGAGAGTGAGTGAGGTCATTGAACTTTGTAAAAACAATCACTGTGCTTTTGAGCACAGAGACACAGAAAAACACAGAATGATGTTATGGCATTCTGGGCATGGATTAAATATGTAAATAACAAGAGGACCTCTCAGAGAAATGGGAGAATTGCAGGTTCTGCTCAGAAAGCAGAGCTCACAGCTGTATTAGAAGCTATGGGTACATCATGTGCGCTGAGAAAAGGTAACTTCCAGGTACGACACCAGCCGGCCCACACACTGAGTAACACCTCTGCTGCCAGAGGAAATGCTGAGGTGGACAGGCTAGTGCAGGCCAGAAGGGTGAGATTGGTTTTGCATGACAGTACAGAATCTGACTACGACCTGGTGGAGAAGCTGCATTAAACTCTGGGGCGCCCCGGTCTTCAAAGGCTGAAGAAGTGGTGCTTGCAGAATGCAGTTTGCATCCCCCATTTGGACTCTGTGCTGAGAGATGTTAAATCACACTGCGCTCTATGCTTAGAGCTGGGTAAACAACCCACAGAGAAAGTGATTGACGACCGTATTGGTCCAGAAGGTTTGACCTCTGTCTCTTGTGACATTGGAGAGCTAAAGAGAACACGAAGGGGCAATAAGTATTTCCTGGTGGTCAAAGGAAACAGGGGGGAGAGTATAGGAGGTATGTTTCCTTTGCCCATTGCAGATTGCCTAGCGAGAATCCTGGTGTGTCATCCACAAATAAAAGATATCAGGATGGATAATGCACCACATTTAAAAAATAAAGTTGTTCTGGAGCTGCTGGAGAATGAAGGACTAATAATCCAGTGGTCCATTCCTTATAAGCCACACACAAACGGAGTGGCTGAGAGAGCAGTTCGCACCGTTAAAGAAGCGATAAAAACCTTGAACTTGAAGGAATGGGATTCTCCAGGTGCAGTTCTGGCTATTAATAAGGCTCTATTAGAACAGCCTTTAAGACGAGAAACTGCTAAAGACACACTCTCTGTCTCTCCACAGGGAGAACAAGAGAGAAGCTTCCTGCATAAAAGACCCCAGGATGGAAAAGTTGAAAAGATTGAGGGGAACCATGAAGGGAACACAATCAGATGTGCAACCCCTAACCAAAGCACAGTCTGGCTTGAAGACTGTAAAGAAATGGGTACCACTAAATGAAGGTGGAATTGCATCCCCAATATGGCTGCTGAGTGCATCAAGTTCAGGGGGGATTACATTAGGTAAAGTACAAGGGCAAAGTTGTGATGAGGAGTGCTTCAGCTGGTCAGTTTACAGACCTGGTACATGCGCAAACTGTGGCAATGAAGTTGCTGAGATAAGGTGGAAAGGCCCGAGATTTCTTAAAGACAAAGTTCTGAGAAAAAATCCTTCACCCACGAATGCTGTGGAATTACATGGTGTGATGAAAGTGGCGTGGTGTGGAGATTGTTGGATGAGTAAAGCAGGCAAAACAAGAATTGGTCGTTTGGATCATCATAGTGTTGATGAATCTAGAAAATGTTGCAGAGTGGACAAAGGAAGACTTTCCAGTTGTTCCAGTTCATGTGGGGTGCGAATTTACCCTGTGGTGTTGCTGGTTCCTGAGATGAGTCACCTGTCAGGCTTGACATGCTCCCAGGCATATTGGGAGAATTGCTTTAAAGAGATAGTGTGTACTAGAAAGGGAGGGAGTTTGAGTGAAACTTTCTCACCTTGGGGAAAGGTGCTGTGGGAAGCTACTGAACCACAGCTGTGTTGGAGAGACAGGCGAGGCAAGTTTCCTATAACCACTGACGAGTGGGAAAGGAGACAGGTTCGTCATGAGACAACAGATAAGGATTGGTACACCTCAGCTACTGTACCAACATGTAATGACTTGTCAATAACCAGAAGTCAGACGCAAGTATTAGTTAAAACAAAAAAAGGCTGGAGGAAGCTGGATGTCTGGAGAGACTCACTCAAGAAGAGTGATGGTGTTTTAATAGCAGTAAACTTGGAGTGGGATCGGCACGCGGAGACCCCCAGGCTATTTACAAGGGACACCGTGGCTGCGCCAAGGCCACAGGTGAATTAAGAAAAATGTGTATGATGAAGCTCTCTGCCTAATTCTCCTCGTCTCTACAGGCAGCAGAGATTCATGGATTCCTGCGGAGAGTGGGAGGAGGAGGAGCTAGATCGGCTCCTCACACGACCTCCTGATAAGACTTGCTGGGAGAGTTGGAGAGGAGGTATCTTATGTTGTATCGGTTTATTAATCTGTGTGGTAGCGATATCTTTTATCTCAATGCCTGTTTCACGAGTTGTAACACTCAAGACCACGGCTGTGGTTAAAGGGTGGGTTCACAAGCGACCAGGAACCCTAGACCTGCCTAGAGTGTCGTGCTTGACTCCTCATGAGGAGAACTTTAAGGCCACTCAGTGGATGGAATATTGTAAGGCTGTTACACAGGGCTGTCCAATCCCTGATCCAGGCGAGGCCTGTAGCCCCACATCTACCGGCTGGCTGATGTGGTTAGAGCAGCTTAATAATGTCACCGACAGCCATAATTCTACTTATGGGCTGTTAGGATGGGAGGAAGGAAAGCTTAAAGTGTGGGATTTCACAGTTGATGTACAACCTGTGGAATGTATTACTAAAATCTACCATTTTGGGGTACTAACTGTCTGGGGAGAATATATAACTGGTTTTGATAAGGTTTCTGATTGCATGATATTCAGACTCCTTGCGTTCCCGAATGGAACTGCAGCTGAGAATGATAGCTGGGCAATGGAAGGGGGTTCCCTACCCCCCATGTCGCAGCTGATTGCTCCACAAGACGCAGACACGGCTGTGACCCCTCACTTGAGGAGGCAGACGCGTGCTGCTAAAGAGCAAACGAAAGGCCACAGGCTTCCTAGTCCACAGAGTATTTGGTTGGACAGAACCAAAGCTTTTTCAGCTTACAAAATGATCCCTTTAGGAAAGGGAAAACAACTGTTACCCATGACATTGCATGTAACCCCAAAGGGAGTTAAATTAAACTTCATTCATGCTCCGCATGTGCTGAACAGGAGCTTGATAGATGGAATGACAGAATATTTTATGATCATCCCACGTCTGGCCTGGGACAAAGGAGAGGCGGACAGCGTGTGGAGATGTATTAAGAAGTTAACTAGTGACCCAAAATACCCCAGAACATGGTGGAATAATTATATATGGGAGTTAATGTCCTTAGGTGGACATGTACGAGGTCCTTTTCCTGGTATGATTCCGAAAACGAGTCATGATGCATGGCTTGTGAATAGCACATCGAAGAGATGGGCTCTGAATGTGTCATATGAAATGTGGACGGAGGATGTTCATGGCTTAATGGGACATTTTGCCCCAAACGGGTTCGATAAGCCAGGGCGAGTGACAGAGTACGATGTCCTTTTTGGACAATGGTGGGCTACCAATCTGACAGAAGGGGTGTTAGAATGCAGGCCTAAAGAGAGACTCGGCTCTACAATCTTTTGGATGGCTAATTTACTGGCGTTGTTGAACCCAGCTACAGTCCCAACGATTAAAGATGTAAATGTGAAAAAAGGTGTAAATATGACTCCTCCGTTCGTGAGGATGGAGAAACATGGCAGTTTAATAGAACTGACTATGGTCCGATCTCAAGGTCCACATCTAGATGATTTGTACTCCACCCCAGCTTATTCAAAGTTTCGGTTTATGAATATGACATGGGGGCATTATACTGGAGAGCTGCGAGACTTGGAGTATGATTATGCGTATCGCGAACAAGCTTTACGATTCAGGGAAGCACATTGGGTGCGAAATTCTCTGTTAACCAGGTGGTGTAGGTCTGATGCGTGCTTCAGAACTTTGGCCCAGCCCGCTACGAAAATTGCTGTTAGAAATGGGAAAAATGTGTATAATCCTTATGAACTGGGCGGCTTTGTTGACCCTCACGGTTACCCCCACTGGTGGCACTCAAATTGGAGCAGCTACGTCGTCTGGGACTCAGAGAATTTCCCATCATTAGGAGTAGGATGGGGTTACTTTGCCAACTCGAAAGGCCCCAAGGCTTGTTTTTGTCAGGAGGACATAGATGCTGTTGAATACAGGAGCGACTTGGGTGTATGGCCCTTTCAAGCATGGATTCCTGTTGGTGGGGGTCGTTGGGAGCAGAACTGTTCTGGTTCCTTTCATTTTCCCAATCGGACAGGCACATGTTGGTTGAGTGAAAGAGCTAGGATGTCTGATTGGGAATTTGTCCAGAAGGGTTTTAAAATTATTGGCCAAGGATTAACCTTAGGTATCAGAGAGGCCGTTAAGGTGGTCGCCCAGGGAGCAATGGGTGTTGCCTCTCTGATAATCTCTGAATTATGGGTTTACGCCAAGGTCCCTGTGATCGTAGGAGGGGTCCTGGTGATGTTATCTGTTTGTGTTAAACTCATGCATCTTTTGAAGTGTTTTGCCAGCTGCAGCAGGAGATCTGCTAATCAGCCCCGATGGCAGGAGGAAGGGCCTCCTGAGTCAATTAGGTTGGGACCACGTGGACGCCGGGCACTGAGGAACAGAGCTGTACGCAGGTAGCATCTCCCTTGAAGAGAAAGTTCTCAAGGTATTATGGCCCGTGCAGAATCTCCACGTGAGGTATTTGAAGAAGCAGATGAGGATGTGCTGATTACCTCGGTAAGACTGTCTCTATTGGGTTAATCTTACCGGCGAGATATGCTAATATTAGATGCACAAGAGGCCTAACTGAGGACTCTTGGAATGTTGATGTGATAACTTCTGCTTAATGCATGATGAGAGAATGATTGGTACATCCTGTTATCTGATCAGGATGGAAAGGCCCACTTATTCATTGTGGTTACTAATTTGCATGCTGTAACTTGTGTAATTCCTGCGGGAAGCAGTGAAGACCTGTGACCTGCATTTTAGGTCTCTAGGATTTTTACATACCTACTAGTGGTATGTCTGATATCACTATATGAATGTGTTGTACTAACAGAATTAATGCTGAAGAAGTGTCTGGCTGCATTCTGTGAGAAAGGCCTGACCTCATGTTCACAGAGGATGGTAGGGTGCCGCTGACCCCTAGTGGGGTCATAAAGGTCATGCATGACTGGAACCAGAACCAAGGTCTGTTTAGTCTCTCTGTGTGTGTTTTTAGGTTGATGAATCAGAGGATCTATTGCCTGGCCCAGACTCTCAGGAGATGCTGGTGCTGCCACCCAGTGGACAGAAGCCGCTGGTGAACAAGCAACGTCGGCTTGGGGTGATGTCACCCAAGAGAGTTTCACTTTACGGGCTGGTGGATGGTAAACCTGTAAGGATAAACCCGAATGGACCGTGGAACGCACATGTTTGGGAACGTATTGTGTTGGTCTCTGATGGTACCAGTCATAAAGGGACTCGAGTGACGAGGAGGGAGAAGATTCTTCAGAGAATTACACGCTCGACTTTAGTTAAGCATTTTGATTGTGTCAGGCGCGATGTGTCGCGGGGCCAGACGCGCTTGCCCTGTGTACTCTCTCACTTCAGAGAAGGCGACGTCGACTGGTGCTGGATCAGTACACCCCACAACGACTACGTGCAGGAGGGCGAAGAGTCAAGGCGTGTGGTCAGGATGCAACCATCACCTGCAAAAGTGGACGTTCCGATGCAGGAAGTGAGCCCTCCGGAGTTCGATCTGCGTTAGCAACTTCAGGCCGCTCCGTCTGCCCAGGCCATGGTGCCACCAGTGATGAATGCATTAAATCCACATGTTTGCTTGTATCCAGGGAATTTGAATATGCAGTATTTTCCGCAGTTTATGCCATTTAACCGAGCCTGGTTTCAAGGGGGGTGTTGAATAAAGATTCTCGATTCCTCCAGACCTGTCTTATTATATAATAGCAGTTCTGGATTACATCTCAAATCTGTATGTTAAGTGAAACCAGGCTTCAGGGTTCAGCTAGAGGTCTGTGTGTGGTGATTTGACTCCTGATCTCATGCTGCCATAAATGTTGTGTGTGTTTCAACTAATCTTCTATCAATGACAAATTTATGTTGTAGTTTAACCTTGTATCGACTTTTTATGGTGTAGCCCAGGATGTGATAAGAACTTCAGGGGGATGGAGATGTTTATGTTTGACTTCCTTTGATCTGAGCTGAAGAAGGAAGAAGGAGGAGGGAAGACCCCCGCCCATCTGGCTGATACCGGAGGGGGGCTGGGAGAAGACCCAAGGCCGGGGAATGCTTCCGAGGCAGGGGTTGCCATGGAGACGGAAGGGGGGCCAGGAGGAGAGAGTTGAAGAGGATAAAAGTGTGAGGGCTCCGGGGGAAGGGGCCTTTTTGGCTTTTTGGTCTCTCGGGCTTTTTGGGTGTTTGGGGAGAGTTCGGAGGACAACTGTAACGGTTGAGTGATCTGACCCGCTGCGTCGGGAAATCTGGAATATTTTTACTTCATCATATAAAATAAAATATTTGCTCCTTCATATAAGGGGCTTTAAACGGAATTTCCAGCCTGGGGTCTCCAGTCGTGTCGTGTAACAGCTAAGAAGGTGAGGCGCTGGTTACTTTTTATCCCACTCCAAGAGGTTTACATTTAAACTTAAAGTCTTTAACCTGGGCATAGCATAAGCTGCAGGTGACTGAGTTGTGGTGAAGTTATAACAAGAGTCTTCCTTTGTGCTGCTAAAGAATGTTTGCCAGAGTCTAAATCTAGGTAAAGATGATCGCTGATTAGCTCACAGAGGTGTAAGCTCAGACTGGATTCACGCTCACGCACAAATAGAAGTACAAGTCAACCCTGAGACGTAGTGTTTATTAAAGAGTCAGCTAGTTTGGGAGGATGACTTGTAACAGTAGGGATGATAAAGCATTTTTGATGAATACGAGCATTAGACGAGTAAAACTCATAAATATCTGTAATCATGCTGAAGGAAAATCCTCATTGGGTAACTGACTGTCTTCATGCTCTGTGATTGGCCAGTCACATAGAGCGCCCGCCCCTCCCTAAACACAAAACTCTGCAGCCGGGAGCTCAGTCCAGCCCATCCACGCACACACACAGACAGCAACGGATCTCTCTGTGCTTGCTTCACTGTTGCTCACGTTTCTTCAGTACTCCCTAGGTTTTCTTCAGCTCGCCTCTTTTTCGGTTGAATATTTAAAGTTACTTTTTTCGGAACGTACGTGGTGCATTTGAGAAGATAGAGCTGAAAACGGCTCATGCTGCGTCGGTCACTGCCTCCGCTCCCGGGATCGATCTCTCTCTCTCTCTCTCTCTCTCTCTCTCTCTCTCTCTCTCTCTCTCTCTCTCTCTCTCTCTCTCTCTCTCTCTCTCTCTCTCTCTCTCTCTCTCTCTCTCTCTCTCTCTCTCTCTCTCTCTCTCTCTCTGTGTATGTATTAATTCATGCACGTAATTATTAATGTTCTGATTTTATTGAAAAACTTGTTCTGTAATAGTTCCTTGACTATTGTGATCAAAAATATTTAATCTCAACTCTGAGGCTGCTCTGTAAATAGTTTTCAAATAAACAATACACATAGCAACTTCTGATCAATCCATATCAATTTCAGACTTAAAATAATGTATTGATGTAAATCACACTCACTTCCGGTTAAACTACACCCACTTCTGGGTTAGGCCACGCCCATTCAGAGTACAGAGACAGACCATTTAGATGGTTGAACAGATACAGATAGGCTTACAGATAGTGGTGTACTCGCTAATCCCTACTTGTTTGTGACTTCAAATAGTATTTTTCTTTTTGGGACTCTGGTAGTTTGTCCAAAAGTTGAAGTTGTGGCAGCTGGCTGTTTCTCCTTTTCTGACATTATTGAGAGAGAACCTCTCACACCAGTTGGTGTTCTGTTACTAAATATGTGAGTGTGTTATGATTGGAGAACCCAAGTAAGTGTGGGGGTTCAGTAAGACTTACCTGATGGCCTAGTGGTGGCGTTTGGTCTAAAACGTGTCTTTGGCTGAGGTTTTTAGACAAACGCAAGAAAACATTTTTTTTCTTTATTTTTTTAAAATCTTTTTATGTCCCCTCTGGCTGTGTTGGAGGGTGAAGGGAATAACACAGAAAGTTATGGGAATGTAACAATTCTCTACAATACATTTATACTATGTTAGAACATTATTAGGAGCCATGAAAAAAGGTTTAATGCTAATTAGTTTTCCAAATTTGTTATAGCAGCTTTATAAAAGTTTCTGCTGTTTTGTAAGATTTGTAATTTGATTTCTCATCTCTAATTAAAGGTTTGTTCCATTTTTCAAAGAAACTTTTATGACAAAAGTCACGTTAGGCCACATGCATGCACATAAACAGACTTTCACATCCATGTGGCTACATGCCAAGGTTATCGGCTCAGCGGTATTCACCATCATACTGATGCTAGCTGTCACATCACAGAGGGAATTGCAATCACAGGATGTAAAGGACATGCTGCTCGTTAGCAGTGAACACTTTCTGCTTGTTATTTCATGGCTGAGATACATTTCTAAAGCAATCCCCTCATGTGGTAGTGAAAGTCTCACAGAAGTGAAGTATTAATATATATATATATATAAATATAAATATAAACATATATATATATATATATATATATATAAATGTGTTTCAATATTTGCCTCCCAAATTTAAGCTTCTCTCTCTCTGTGTGTGTGTGTGTGTATGTGTACGTGCGTGTGCGTGTGTGTGTGTGTGTGTGTGTGTGTGTGTGTGTACCAGTCTATACATCAAAGTGACGACCAAAGCAAGTTTTTACCAGCAAACTGAGGACATTAGTAGCAAAGTGAGGACCTTTTGCTGGTCCTCACTTTGGGAAAATGTTACAGAGCTAGGGTTAGGAGTAGTCTAGTTATAGTTAGAGTTAGCATTAAGCTTGGTTTATTATGGCGCCAGACCCGTGCCACAACCCGTGCACGCGCAATGGGTCCACAGCGCGCGTGTGAACGGGACTCGCGAGCGCAAATATACATGGCAGCGCGCGTGTGAACGGGACTCGCGAGCGAAAATATACATGGCGAGAGGTCATTTGTGCACTGAGAGGGAGCAAACTGTGTCTGTGAGCGCACAAGGATGTGCACAAGTGACAAACCTGCGTGCACGCGTTGCCAACGAGCACACGACAGAGGAAAACATGCGCGCGCGGCAGCCTCTCTGCGCGCTCGGCAGCCTCTGCGCGCTCGGTTTCTAATTCCGCTCGCTCGGCTGTGAGGGGTTTTGGCACTCTGGAGGCGTGGCCTGTGGCAGATCTTCCCTGTCCTCTGATTGGTTAGTTTGCCCTGCACTTTACTCTCTACCTATCTATATAAAAAATCTGAGATTCAGTAGTTGCTGTCATAGCTCAGCTGGGAGAGCGGGTGACTCTCACTCTGGAGGATCCAGGTTCGAGTCTGGCCAAGGAACATAGAGTCAATGTCATGTTATTCTTTCCTAATTCCTGTGATATTATTTTACAGTTGTGACCGTTCAACTGTCATTAAACGTCCGAATGTTTGCTGGGCAGTGTTTTAAAAAGTGCACATAAGCTAGATGGTTTTAACCAGGTAAAAATAGACTTGTGGGTGTAGGTATGCTCAAGTTTAAAAAGTTCTTGCCTCATTAATGTATTGTTTATTTTTTTCAGCATTTAATTGACAAAGTATCCTTTCAAATAATTAATTGATGAGTTACAAAATTGTCCATTTAGAATTGTTGAATGGACTGAGTCAAGTTTGGTGCACTTTATATATTTCAAAACATGTTTTTTTTTTATTTTAATTATGCATATAAATAATTTTAATGTTAATTTATTGAAATATTTCTATTTTTTCATTACCTCACCCTTGTTTTGACAAAAACAAGACCTTGCTGGATAATATCACGGAGAAACTATTTGTTCACAGTACATGGCTCAGTGAGGATCTGTATACCAAAGGAGGAGATACTCAGAAATCTGTCTGCAGATTGTTACAACCCAGACTGGAAGTGGTGGGCTGTAATAAGAAAGGAGACCAAACAGAGGAGTGGGGGTTCAACAACTGATTTATTTAACCAAAGTAAGGATTTACTAAAGCAAGTTAGTGAACAGAAAATGGCCAGTGAGGACTCTCCACCACACAGGAGAGACCCAGTGAAAGCAGAAAAAACAGTAGGCTTTGTAGGCAGCACCACACCCTGAGCCCAGGTGCCTCCAAGGCTGCTTAACGAGCTGCCTACAACAGAAGAAAAACACAATTAAACACAAATGAAAACCCAATGAGACGGTGGGGGCATCACAACACGTTCAGGACTACCCAAACACCAGTAATTCTTGACTGCACTGATCTGAGGTGTCAATGGCCATATTCCCCTCTCTTCCAGAGTCATATATTTTCCTCAAGTTCAACTGCACTCTGAAGAGGCTCATTTGCATTGTGCCACATAGGCCAGTGACCTTTGTCTCAGCACTGTATGCTGGAACTATCAGCGACCAACCTGGGAATCTGGTGTGTTGAAAATGCTACAACTAGAGATGGTCATCATGGTAGACAGGGGTTTCTTCATTGATGACATTGTGCCCTGCAAAGTGTACAGGCCAGCTTTCCTTTCTGGCAAACCTCAAATGTCTGCATGTGAAGTTATAGAAACAGAAGCCATAACATCTCTGAGTGCATGTGGAGCGCTCCATTCATCTGGTCCAATAACACTAGGTTTTTGATTGTTATTCCCCTCCTTGCATTTGTAAACAATCAGCTATATGCTGTGGTTTTTTCTCCTTACCAACTTTTAAAATAGCCCACTAGTGAAGGCCTGGGCAAAGAAGCCTGATGTCTGAGAACCTCAACATATGTACGGCAACCACACTGTATATTTACACACTTTCTTAAAGAAACTGCATATCAAGCTTTCATTCAGATGTCCCTCAACAGTGCTGCACCCTGTTGAGGGACATCCGAGTAAAACCTTGAGATGGCCATTTTCTGTTCACTAACTTGCTTTAGTAAATCCTTACTTTGGTTAAATAAATCAGTTGTTGAACCCCCACTCCTCTGTTTGGTCTCCTTTCTTATTACAGCCCACCACTTCCAGTCTGGGTTGTAACAATCTGCAGACAGATTTCTGAGTATCTCCTCCTTTGGTATACAGATCCTCACTGAGCCAAGTACTGTGAACAAATAGTTTCTCCGTGATATTATCCAGCAAGGTCTTGTTTTTGTCAAAACAAGGGTGAGGTAATGAAAAAATAGAAATATTTCAATAAATTAACATTAAAACTATTTATATGCATAATTAAAATAAAAAAACATGTTTTGAAATATATAAAGTGCACCAAACTTGACTCAGTCCATTCAACAATTCTAAATGGACAATTATGTAACTCATCAATTAATTATTTGAAAGGATACTTTTTCAATTAAATGCTGAAAAAAATAAACAATACATTAATGAGGCAAGAACTTTTTAAACTTGAACATACCTACACCCACAAGTCTATTTTTACCTGGTTAAAACCATCTAGCTTATGTGCACTTTTTAAAACA